TTAACCTTCATTTTCAGGCTGGGAATATTTTAATTGACTCTAATGGTGCAGTCAAGTTAGCAGACTTTGGAGTGTCCGCATGCATGTTCGATACTGGAGATAGACAACGTTCCAGAAATACGTTTGTTGGAACTCCATGCTGGTATTTCTTTTTTAATCGTCTCGTTCAGCCTTATATAGGATGATGTAATATCAAAGGTCGTTTTGCCATTTCTGGTTGGCTTAAGGTTTTTGAGGTTTTATATAAAAATACTCTGCTTTTGTCTCATTCTCGTCAGGATGGCTCCTGAAGTTATGCAGCAATTACATGGATATGACTTCAAGTGAGTGGGTTACCTAGCCAATCTCTCACTTTCTTTGTTCTCTTTGTATGCTTTGTTTCTCTGCAGCCTTATGTTTGGTTGAAAACTTGAAGTTTCTTATGTTGTATTTTCACCTGTTTCTCCATTTACAGAGCAGACATCTGGTCATTTGGAATAACAGCACTTGAGCTTGCTCACGGTCACGCCCCGTTTTCTAAATATCCACCGATGAAAGTAATTTTCTTCAATTTTTATATTTATATGAGCTCATCCGAGGAGAAGTGCTTCAGTGGTGCTTAGCTTACTGTGTGAATTACAAATTTTCTCCACTCTTTTCCCCCTTGTTGCAGGTTTTGCTGATGACTTTACAAAATGCACCCCCAGGCCTTGACTATGAAAGAGACAAGAGATTTTCAAAGGTTTGTGTTGGCTAGTTGAAACTCACATCTCCCATTCTCAAATTTAATTCATGAAAGTGCTACATTTTCCAGTCTTTCAAAGAGATGGTAGGTGCTTGCTTAGTGAAGGATCCAAAGAAGCGTCCATCTTCAGAGAAACTTTTGAAGCACCATTTTTTCAAACATGCTCGACCTGTTGAATATCTTTCTCGTACCATCCTTGAGGCTCTTGCTCCATTAGGCGAACGTTTTAGGATGCTGAAGGTTTCTTACTACTCCCAGATTCTCTTCTGTACTTTATTATTCAGTTATGATATGTGGCAGATTTCAGCCACATTTTGACGTGGTGTTTTTTTTGTTATGTTTTAGGCAAAAGAAGCCGATCTTCTTGTGCAGAATAAGGCTCTCTATGGGGATGAACATTTATCACAGGTGAGAGTTGTTCGAAGTTCAATAAAAATAGTTGGGTGTTTAGTTGTTGTCTTGATTGGTCTTTAGGCATCAGCATTTAAGTTTATTTCGACCTTCACTTCTTTTTTTTCTATCCACATTCTAATCTTTAGCACTTTTTGAATACGTCTGTGTGTGCACGCACTATACAAGACTCTGTAATCAAACTTTCCTCCTTTATATTTAGAAGCTAATTCCTGGATTTCGAGTACCCAATTATGAACATCATCCTGAATATATGTTCTTTCTTGCAGCAAAAGTATATCAGAGGAATCAGTGCCTGGAATTTCAACCTGGAGGATTTAAAAAATCAGGCTGCCCTTGTAAGTAAATCAATTTCTAGCCTATGTATAACTAACAGTTGGTTTGATTCGTGCACGACATTTGCATTTTATCATTATCAATCATTTATATTTTTAATTTACATTATTACTGACATACTGTTGCCTGCAGATTGAGGAGGATAACATGCACAATGCACCAAGTACAAAGCAAAATGACAAGCATGAAGATGTTAGTTTTCCAGCAGAGAGGGAAGCCATTGAGATGGAAATCCAATCAAATGCTGTGCCCGATCAGGAGGTATACGAACTGCCCCTTTAAATTCATCTCCCTTGTCTCATATTTTTTGAAGTTCTAATTATTTTATGCATTCGGCGTCTGCCAATATAGGATGGCTTCAACGATCTGCATGATTTGGACAGCTCACTTGCTTCGTTTCCTATCAAACCTCTTCAAGCACTTAAGTATGAATGCTTTTCTTTTCGGTAATCGTATTATCCACTCATATTTGTAACTTAAGCCTTATCACGTTAACTGATTTTGTCAGCAAACAGATTCTGTGATTCAGTATGCCAAATTATTATTATTCAATATCTGTAACTGTTTTCTGCAAGTTCTTGCATTTTATCCATTTTATGTAGCATCCTAGTAATAACTTTCTTTATGGATTTTCCCAAAATTATTGAGATGTTTTGTGTTTTTATTTAAGAGTAAAAACTTTAGCAATTTAATTTCATTGGATTGTAATTATTCCTTTCTGTATAACCATATATCTTGATTTTACTTTTTATTTATTGATATTTGCTTGGTTTTTAAAATGTGATTTGTTTTATTCCTTTGTCTTACTTTCAAGGTGTTTTCTGATGCAGAGGCTGTTTTGATGTTTGTGAGGATGATGTGAGTGCGTCTAGTCCAAAAAACATCGCTCAAGAAAATGGGAGAAGTGAAGGTGAGACTTCAGGGCAATGTAGTTCTTTACCACGTCATGTTAATCTCGAGCCTAAAAAATTTTTGAGTGGTTCACTGTTACCGGATTGTGTGCTTTCTCCCAAAAAGGTTATTGGCAACGGTGAGAGGTAAGTGTTCTTATGATGAAGTTTATTGGGTTTTTTAATGTGCTTTTTTCCAACATCATCGGTAAAATGCTCTATTGGTTTTCCCCTTTTCTCAACCAGAAGAAAATGAGCCTCCCCCCTTTCACTTTCCTGCATCAAGCATTGTTTGCATGCTCATTAACTCTGGCTGAATAAAACGCTCCTTGAATTCCCTATGTAATTGCTTGTTGACTTAGGGTAATAGCTACTTAGAGCTCCTCACAAAAATTGCACAATGCACATTCTTGTTGCCTAGTAGAGCATTGTTATGAGTCATCCTTTGTTGGAACTACACTGTAATTTAAATTTTGCGTGTTGAAAGTGTCATATGATAATATCATTTGTTGTATATGTAGAGTACTGAGGAACGAACCATCCTTTGTTGAACTAAATTGTCATTAAATTTCTTCAAAGTCGAAATTGTCATGATAATCATGGTTGTCACCTAGAGCCTTGCCCAATGAAAGTTCAGGAAACTGTAACGAATATGGTTTTGATGGTAATAGACTTCAGTGTATAACATCCTCATTGCCGTCATTGTCTTATTCTCTTACAGTATGATTCTTTTGATATCCTCATCTGACAATCATTGTATTTTTTGTGCAATTGTGCACAAAAGTTTGGTTCTATTACCTATGAGTTGAAAATATTGTATATGTTTTGAAGGGATCATCTGCAAGCGAAACCTCAACCTGAGCGGAACTACAGTGGTTCGTTGTTGTATCGCCAGAAGAGAGACTCCATTACCCATGCTTCTGGTTCGTCTCTTGTAGTTCTGTGCGCTCATCATTTGTTCTTTATGTCTGATTTCTTCCACCTGTTTGTGCTCTTTAAAAACCTTTTATCATTTGTGCATCTGTTTATGCAGCTGAGGATGTTTCTGAAGGAGCAGTTGTCCAACGTAAGGGGCGCTTCAAGGTTACTTCCGCAGACCTCAGTCCCAGGGTACAGATATTTTATAACCTATATATTCTGGAGTGTTATTGGTTATTTATCTGAAGTTTGTTTCTCAACAATAGAATTGCATTGCTTCTTATTTGAGATACCTACTGGTTTCAGTTTTTCCATCAGATTCGTGCTCAGTACTCGGATTTTTATGTCTACTTTGCGTGTTTATGATGTTTAACTTCATAAAGGGGTCCAACTTAGCGGGATATCTTTCAGGCATTAATAACCATTACCGTTTCTATCTCTTTTCCAGGGTCCTTCAAACTGCTTGTTTAGTCCTACTGGAAGTTCAACTGGTCCAGCAACCGCACCCCTTACAGCTACCACTATTCTCCCTTCACTACAATGCATTCTGCAGCAAAACACCTTGCAAAGAGTATGTGCCAGTTTTCATCGCTAACACCATTTTGTAGAGGTATTATGTCTCAAACTTTCTTTCTTCATGTGACAGGACGAAATAGCTAAATTGATCAAATACGTGGAACAGACCTCAGGTAACTTCCCCACATTTTTCCTCACATTTTTGGCCTTTAGTTTTGTCTGCAAATTTTTGTTGGGTTTAATACTTTTAGCTTCACGCAGGAATACAAGGGGAGTCCGCTGACGCAAGCACCGGTGACCTTTTGCAGGTAAAGGCTGGGTTTATTTACTGCATATATTGTTTAATGGACTTTAAGCTTGAACCAGAGCTTGACGATGCTTTACGGCATTGATGCAGATACCTCCAGCTTCCGCTCGGGAGAGAGAATTGCAGTCTATCGTCATTAATCTGCAACAGAGGTATTCGAGTAATTAAATGCTTTTTGATGGTGTTAATTTGATCTGCATATAGACATTCGACTTATATTCTGTCTGTAATGTCAGTGTCGGGAATCTTGTCGAACAATTGCAAAGACAGAAGCTGAAAAATGCCCAGGTTCGTGTCTATCTCGAACGCTTGTGTTAGAGTTTTTATATTATGCGGAGAAAAGATAGATGTTTCGGATAAACCATCTGTTGATCAGAATGTTTCTTGTAAGTAATCAGAAGATGTCTTCTCTCTCATTTGCAGTTAGAAAGGCAATTGAAAGCTATCGCCAACAAAGACGAAAATGTTAGAGATGGAAATGATGCATGACGGCAATGTCATGTCCAGAGTCCACCGCCGCCTGTCAAATAAATGTTTTGGCCGGAAAACAGCAATTGCTACGGAAAGAAGATGAAGCATGGCGGCTGTGTTGTGGACATCGGTGTGCAGTTTTGTCGGTGCTTCGATGGTACGCGGCGTCTGTACGTTACCGTTGAATCGCAGGGAGCAAATTTTTTAGTGTTGTATTCTAGTGTACAATATGTGTCAATGTGTGTTAGTGCGGACATTCAAATTTTGAGAATGCGAGTGCTTTGTATCCCGTTGTGTAACCTGTAATTTATCGTACTGATTTCATAGTCGGTTTCCTCGAGCTAGCATTGGTGCGCGTTAAGGAAAATATTACAAGACATTTGGAAGCGGGTTTACCATTTTCTGAGTCAGATAAGTACAAAATCGATAAAAAAAACTGATCTCAATCGGATTGGAATGAGCTCACTTTCACAACACAATTCAATTTGGATTACGAAACACCACAACGGATTGTAAAAATGCGTAATTCAACTTAACGACCAACCCTATTTGTAGATAGATGAATGATTCCGACGCCATGACGCTCTAGTTGAACCCCGGATGGAATGTTAGTGCAGATTGAGGAACTTTTAATGGCAGCACACCATCACCAGAAGCGATTCTCGATAACAGCTGAAACAATGCTTTTCAGTGTCTCCTGCAAGACACAATTGGAATGTTACAACTTCTAACAGCATATTGGCCAAAAAGCATCGTTAGACATTCGATGATTAGTACCGCTGAATGATCTTTGAGACCAAGAGAAAGCATTAACGGCTTTGAGGAGCCCGAGTTACTGCAAAAACAACCTACTGCATCAGACATTACAGTTTAGCAACCTTTTGTAAGTTAACCTCGACAGTCTTCACCGAATTTTTTTACAGGATCAGTAACTGTTACTAAATTAGGAGAAGAAACAGTATAGTCAAAATGTTACCGTCTATCAATGGTGATATGTACCTGATGTGTTCAATAAGCTGACGAGCACATGACACTAGCATTGGCTGCAGATGTTGCAAGACACACAAATGAGCACAAACTTTAGTCAGCAAGGGACACAAAACTTACAGGCTTATACTGCCCTGGATAGCTTACCTCGTCTCGCTTGCCGAAGATTACAGCCACGTTGAATGTCGGATGGATTGCCATCCCTTCCTCCTTCCTGATAATGAAAATAAAAAACACCGCATAAGCTCCTTAATCGTAAACTTAATCCACTTTTTTTTTCTCTTCATTCCTAAATTTAATTCACTTATGAAACCCCCAATGGATAAATAAGCATTTAGTAACATTGAGCTATCAAAAGGCATAAAAAAGATCAATGACAGCAACACTATTTGGATCCAAAATTCTGTATCAATAACCAAAGATTTGGACCTAAAGCAGATGTGTTTTCTGCCAATTGGTCACGACAATGTGCTTGCCTACTTCCACTCAATTTTCAATCTCCCTCCCCGTTGATAAGAGTAGCTTAGAGTATATATCGTCGTATAAACAACAACAAAGCCTTATCCCACTTAGTGGGGTTGGCAGCATGAATCCTAGAACGCCACTACGCTCGGTTTTGCACCAAGACTTCCGTTAGCTCTACTCCATGTCTTTTCTTAAAGTCAGGTTCACAGTCTTCCGAGGTTTTCCTCTACCCCTTTTGCCCCGATCCTATGACTCATATATCATCGGATCAAAAAAAAAAAGTTTGGGACCCATAAACGAAGACAACAGATATGCAGACCTGGCTTGCAGTATGGTGCCCATAGCTCCAATTTGAGTTGCAATAACCTAAAAAACGTTCCAAACATTAGAATTTAATACAAATATGTTGCAGCCCCAATTCAAACAAAAACATTTGAACCCAAAACTCACAAGAAAATGATCATCATAACTGCACATCACTACATCCGTCTTGTTCCCCTGCCAACAGAAACCATCATAACATTTAAACTCAAATTACAAAACCCTAATACATATGTAATCAGAACTGCAGAAGCAAAATTGGAAGAGGCTTTTAAGCAAACAGTTGGTGAGCAACAAAAACACAAGAAAAAACCCAAAAAAATATTAATCACATCGTATTACTGAGAACCAAATACCTTAATTTCCAAGGAAAATTTCTTGTCGGCAACCGGGAAGCTGCCCATAGTTGCTGCTGCTGCTGCTGCTTCTTCTTCTTCTTCTTCTTCAATACGATTACGACTTACAGCAGACGCGATTAGACTGCTGTGAAATTTTCCTTTTCTTTTCTAATTTTATTTTTATTTTTATTTTTGTGTTGGTTAGGAGAATAAACACTTGGGCCTAAATTTACAAGGCCCAATACTAGATTTTGGCCCAAGAGTTGTGGTTTGTGAATGTGGACCACACTTGTACAAGATTAAGAATGAGATCCTCTCCGGATCCTCTTTGTGAGGATCCAAGTGATCCTCCAATCACATCCGTTCAACGTATATCATTCGGTTAGAAATCATTGTAAATCTTTTTATTTAAAATTAAATATAAACATTACTTGACGAAAACTGATCGCACAATATACGATTAACCGATGTGATTGGAGGATTCGGAGAGGATCCTCATTCCAAGATTAATTACCTTTATCAATAAACTTGATATGAAAGATAATTAGGAGATTATTACAATATTAATTACATTTATGAATGTGGATCACATGTCGCGTTAGTTAGCAAGTTAGCAGCAGTGTGTGAAATATATTCGATGCAGTCGAATCGAAAAATCTAGAGAAAAATACAAAAAGCGGGAGTGAAGTCTAAATTTCATTCCATGTCAGAAAAATTCTTAAATTTCTGCTAAAACGGACAAATTTAGTCGATATTTCTAATATACCTGTTAGATATCGATAAATTATCATTTGACACTCCCTAAAGTTTTATTTTTAACAATTTTCATTATTTCATCGAAGACAACCGATTTCAATATATTTGTTGAGATATACATAAATTTGTGTATTGATATTCCGATATTTTAAACACGGGTTAGAAGAATGAACTCATTGTTTGGCACATGTCGTGTTTAGTAAAGAGATTAAAAACTAATTATTTGGCAACTAACTCTCGTTTCGCGGGCGGACAATCTGCGTGGATGGACAGAAAGACCGGGAGGGGTGGATGGTCCACGTGCTCACTGAACATTCAACACGTTAGGGACCGGCTTTAGTTACCGACACAGCTTCAACATCTAGCCGAACCCAAAGCCCAATTGGGATAAATATTTATTTAATATTTGTTTTTCTTTGCAGGGGGAAATTATTTATTTATGCACTCATTTGGGTTCTGTATACTTTTATTTTTTTTAATAGTTAAATTAAAAGAGATTTGAGCACTGAAAAAAAAATTATGAGAAAAAATGTATGTGAAAATATTTTGTTTATAATTAAAAAAATGCATTTTATATTCGTACTTGTTGTAGTAAATTGCGTATATGTTATATCAGTTAGTGATATCATTTTCTCGAGTACTAGTTGTATTGTATACATCACTTATCGCAACATAATGTATGCAAATTACTGAATTTGAAACATTGAATATTTAACAGAAGACCATATCTTTATCTAATTAAAATAAATCGGGTTAATTTCCAGCTAAAAATCTAAAAGATTCGTAATTTTATACCGTATCAAATTATTTGATTTTTGTGTGTGTAGATTATCAAGTAACCGACTAACTATAACATCCTTCGTAAGCTATAAGCAACAAGAAACATGTATTTATTCAATTTTTGATGGTTTAGATTTCTCGCCTAAGGCCACTGATGGAAAGTGAGTCCAATTGCCAACCCGAGTTTGTAACATCTCACATCGTTCAAGAGAGTGGATCCTGTAAGTCTTATATATATATATTATCATCTCTACCTAGCACGAGACATTTTGGGAGCTCACTGGTTTCAGGTTCCATCGGAACTCCGAAGTTAAGCGAGTTCGCGCGAGAGCAATCTCATGATGAATGATCCACTGGGAAGTTTTTGTATGAGTTCTTATAAACAAAACTGTGAGGGCGTGATCGGGACCCAAAACGGATAATATCATGTTACAGCATAGTCGAGTCCAGGATGTGGTGGGGACCTAGGCCAGGATGTGACAGAGTTTGTCATTCATTGAAAGATGATAGAGCTAAACTTGAGATTCTTATATAGTACATTTTACGTTCACAATCGCATCTGTCACAAAATTCGTCTTACTAAAAATAGGACGGAAATTTTAGGGCAAAACAAAAACAAACCAAGCGGCCCAAGCCAAGCCTTAGCTTTAGCTGAGCTAGCTAGGTAGGCGGCTGCTGGGGTGATATTTTAAAGTAAGCTTTGCATGACTTCCAAATGCCAATAGCTTCACATAAACGCATGTCTTCTTCTCTCTAATGTTCTCACTCCATCTCTGTCGGAGAGAAAAGTAAGCTTCCCAACTCCATCTCTGTGCCATTTTTGTGTCTCCAAAACATCGACGGAATGGGGATTGTGGGTTTGGATGAGAGGGAGAACATCGAGTTGCAGGAGTTCTGCCGTATGCTGATGGCTTCCGCCGGCCTCCACCGCAGAAAAGACGACCGCCAGCAACGCAACAACAAGCGTTTCGACTTGAGGGGTGACGATGAAGAAGACATGTTGGTGTGTGTCACTAGCGGCGTTTCTTTCTTAGGACTTGCCCTCGTTGACCGTCTCCTCCGCCGTGGCTACTCCGTCCGCCTTGTCGTTGACAACCAAGGCAAGTGTTTATCTACTAATCATCGTTAATTAATGCTTTCTTGGTCCAAATTCCAATTTCGATTCTGGCTTGTTAGTTGGATCGGTTGGTTAAAGCAATGTGTCTGCCTTTTTGCGACAATATCTAAATCCCTAAAATCTTGATAAAAATTCGAAAAGCGCTTGAAAGTTCATCTTGAAGAACAATCACCTCTCCATTAAAACACCAAAGAAGTTTTTATGATTTCCAAGTACTTTTAAATTTGTCTGCTGTATTTTATCATTGAAATACATCATCAAATAATTTGATGAGAACTTGGCTTTCCAATTTATGGAATCTAAAAGTTCAAATAATTTGATTATGTTATTATATTGATTTAGCATAGTGTGAATATTGTAATTGTTTAGAATTACTGTTAAAATGATAGAAAATGTTTTTTATAAAAGTGTTTTTGAGTTTCAAAAGTATTATGCAAGATGCATTCGTTATGTGCTGCTAACAGAAAAACGTTTTTCAGAATTCATTTGCATCTCTATCAAAGATTAGTTTTAAAAACGCTTTATTCATTTTAAAAGAATTAAAAGGCTTCCAAACAAACAATTTGACTTGTATCCATATGTTTGATTGCAAGAAAACAAGATTTTAAATATAAAGAATATGTCGTGGAATTTGGTTTATTACATCCAGAAATTAATGGGTTGTCGTGTACCCCCGATTAAATAATACAGAAGATGTAGAAAAATTGAGGGAGATGAGGACAAGCGGCAGCACCGACGACCGCATTTCTGCAGTTATGGCGAAGCTAACCGACGATGTCGAAAGCTTATCCCATGCATTCGATGGCTGTCGTGGCGTTTTCCACACCTCTGCATTTGTCGACCCCGCTGGCCTCTCTGGCTACACTGTGAGTCACTTACCCATTTCGTTTCTATACGCTTCTAAAACTTGAAGAAAAATCTTATGGAGAAATTCTTAGGTTCGAACATTTGGTCTACGCGGCATCCAAAAGACCGCACACAAAAACAAAGCATCACACTCGCATTATTTGGTGTCACGTAGGCCATGTGGTCCATGTGGTCCAAGTTTATCGGGACACATTTTTGTTCCACACACTCAAAGTCATGCTGATGTTTACCATTATCTTTATCGTTATTAGATATATTTAAATTTTGAAATATGTGTAGTAAATAGATACAAGATCTCAAAATTTAAACTCATCAAATAGTAATAAGTAGGATGGCAAGCAATATTATCGCTTAAGGGTGGTGAGCAAAAATATGCTCAAATATATTGTGTCTAGTTGCCCTATGTTGCCGTGTGAACACTAAATTGGAAGTGATTTTCGCATATCTTTTACTCCCTTTGCATGTACCTGTTATATTGTGACACTTGGATACTTTTATTTATTTATATCCTTCGATTGTGCTTTGATTCAGTCAATCCGAAGAACGTCTGGAGGAGAATAAACGTGTGCGGAAAACATTTCGATTTTGTTATTGACAACATACATTTGATCAAAATTGCTTGAAAACAAATAATTAGTGCTACAATCATCTCATCCAACTAGAGTTAATTCTACCAACCTCTTCTTGTACATAAGTAGTTGTATATAATCTTGTGTTTATCTCTTTCACACGACTCAAAAAAGTAAAACTGAATGATTTCGCATATCCCTTTAATTTTCCCCCTTGTGCACGGCTCTATTTATTTCTGACATTTGAATTGCGAATGAACCTTGGATTGGAATGATGTGTTTAGAAATCCATGGCTGAGATAGAAGTGAAGGCGAGTGAGAACGTGATGAAAGCATGTGCAGTGACACCATCTGTGAGAAAATGTGTCCTCACTTCTTCACTTCTAGCCTGCGTATGGCAGGAGAGCACCCTCAACCACCTCTCCCCTGTAATTAACCATGACTCCTGGAGCACAGAGTCACTCTGCATTGACAAAAAGGTATCATTTTCATCTTACTCCAAAACCGTCATCATGCACTGGTCCATGATGAGCAAATCCAAAACCATCATCATGCACTCTTCCGTGACGAGCAAATTGAGCACGGAAAAGAGTATAGAATGGCTGTAGTTTTGGAGTGCCAATAACAGTTGGTTTACTATTGTTAGCATTTAATTTTCTTATGGGGAGTGGCAGCTTTGGTATGCCTTGGGGAAGCTGAGGGCCGAGAAAGCTGCATGGAAAATAGCTGAGGAAAAGGGGGTGAAGTTGGCCACCATCTGCCCAGCTCTTATTACTGGCCCTGAAATTTCCACTAGAAATCCAACAGCAACACTTGCATATCTCAAAGGTAATCCTTTTTCTACCACATTCACAACTTTTAGTATCCTTTGGCACCGTCACGTAACGAGCCAACTGTATCAATTCGATATCAAACTAGTCATACATGAGAATCGAACTGATGGGTCTAATGGTATTTCAATTTTCAAGTGAAAGTGATATCGCTAGACTGCAGTATTAACAGGACATGAGTTGCTTGTATTTATGCCTTTGTAAAATTCACAAAAGATGGAACCAAACCATCCCCCTGAAATATTAAGGCAATCTATGT